TGTCGGCAATAACTTTTTTGCTATCAGTCGGACCTTTTCACGTGAGGTCTCATTTTGTAGGTCTCATAAATACCCAAATTCTTATATGAAGAGTTTTTTTTATCCTTTCAACGCTTTCGATTGAATTCAGAAAAACGCGTTTTCTCATCCTTTGTTGTCGATAAAAAGTTTTCCCACAAAAATTGGTGTATCCGTTTTATGCGTCCATGCTTTAAATACCTCCTTGAACAACTTGCAGCAATAAAACCAGACTTTACAATTATTTCGCAAACCAGGGGTATCAGAATCCTCGTGTAATGCAAACTATATTTAATGACATATAAAATGCAATACCGTCTAGAATTGCTTGAAGGTAAGAGACAACGTAGGTGTAAGCTCAATTTTTCGGACTTTTTAACTAGGCACAACGTTGTGTAGAGAGTAGAGGGAAGTTTTTATTAAAATTCAATAACTAATTCTGGATGTTGCATTTTATATGTCACCGAGTATATTTAAACACAGATTTCCTAGCTGCAAAAAAACTATTCATATAAATTAACACTTTATTATGAAAACTAGCGATCCCCTTTTAACTTTTTGCACGTCGAAACGAATAATTAATATTGATACTGAATGGGATCACAGTGTTTGATAATTCAACCATGAAAATCATCAAACAAATATCCGCAGAGATACAATGTCCATTCATTTCACTCAAATACTGACTAAATGTGTAATGGAGCATATTGAGATGGAACACCGGTCCTGGGTCAACAGCAAACGTGTAAATTCTCTGTTATAACAGCTCCATTTGGAGGTATTTGACCATAATTTTCGCTTTGTAGCTCGTAGACGCATCGATTTCAGAGTCCGAACGCTTCGTCTCGTCTCGCTTGAAGCGTGTTGCTTGGATGGACGGTCGAAATGATAGATGATATTATGATTTATATGCAGACTAACCTAAACCAGCAGCTCAGCCCGAGTGGAAGTAGTATACCTACAGTATACGAGCCCCTTCCCACTTCTGTTGGCCCGCTTTAAGATTTGTACCAGAATATGGCTTTATAAACTAAACATGACGGAACTATTTACTTCTAAAACAATTTATTTTCTCATAAACATTTTAGTCGTAAAAAATACATATTTGAAATCACTAAGACCTATAACTAATAGAACATCTGAGCAAATAAACAATGTGCGAATAAATGCGCGAAGTTAACAAAGCAACAATTGAAAGATTACCATTGGGTAACATCAGCTTTATTTTTTATTACGGCTGAAATTCTTTGGGGCATAGTGTTGACCAAGTTTTGGCAAAAATTTGGTGTAAAACAATCCCAATCCAATGTTTCTTGAAGCTTTTGTCTCAGTTCGGTGATTGTACGAGCAGGATGTTTTCGTGGAACCATTTTCATCTCGTGCTACAAAGTTTCAATAGGTGACATATCTGGATTCTTCCATTTTATAGCCTTTTTTGAGGTATGGCACGCTGCACCATCTTGTTGAAACACAAAATCTTGGCCGGATGTCAAACATTCTTCCATCACTGGTAAAAGCGATTCTTCTAAAATTGCCAAATATTTGTTTGTATCCACATTTCCATCAATAAAATGAAGTTTTCCTACTCCTTTTGATGACATACTGCCCCAGACCATAATGGATGCTGGAAATTTCACTTTTCTCTTCAGACAGTCAAAATTGAATGGTTAATTTTTTTGCGAATAACTCTACTGTCACCAACACAAAATTCGAATCGGGCCTCATCACTCTATTGTATTGCACACCATTGTTGAGGTGTCCATTGTCTATGTTCTGTAGCCCATCTAAGCATATTTTTTTGCAGTGGAGTTAATAGTGACTTTCCTTTGGCTGATAAACAAGTTGTGCAACTTTAGGGTTTTTAGTTCACTTTTTTTTATAAGAGAATTTACCTTGCAAGTGCTAAATCCCAGTTTGTGGGCCTCTCTATGAGTTGTGGAGCCCGAAATTCTCCTTCCAACAGCGTCACTCCACAGAGCACTTGATTGTAAATAATTAGCACGCCTGTTTTTCACGATTATTCTTCTTAATGCTCTTCAGTCAGCATTTGCGATATTACTTTTTTTCACATATCGTATCTTAATATTAACTGAACCAGTTATGTTATGTCTTCTAACAATATTTCTCACACTGTACCGCGATAAGTCTAACAAAGTTGCAATTTCTGAGTTTGATTTCCCAGAATAAAAAAATTCAATTATCCGTAACCGAATTTTCTCACTAATAACCTTTCCTCTACCCATTTTGAAAACCTTAACTACACAAAACTATTTTAAACGTATTCTGACAGCTGTGATTAATAAAAACAATTAGGTTGATATGCTGTAATTGCAACATGTGTTATTTTTATGCTGCAAACTTGATCAGGAAGTGGTAAAGTTGTTGTTTTCTGCTATATACAGGGTGACTTTGAAGTTGAGTCATTAATTTTCAGATAATGATTGTAGAAGGAAGATAAACCAAAATATGTGTGTAAAAATAAAAAAAAAATTAAAAAAAAAAAATTTACCTTGTTTTATAAAGTATCCTCCCGACAAGTATTTCAGTGCGGACCTGTATTTGATCGTGAGGTCTTGGAGCACCGGCATGCCGTCGCCTGTGAGGTCTTAAGTCACCTGATTCACGAGCCCGTTGTACTAGATTAACAAAGGCACGAGGGGTTGGTTGCACTCGATTGGGAAACCGATCCGCATAAACATGTGCCATTTTTTATTTCGTTTGAGCCACGCAACAGACACCACTATTTACTCACGCGTTACCGACTGACACTGACTGTATACAACGGAATAAAATAATTGTAAAAACATCGTTCCAAATTCTTTCGCTTTTTTGTTTCCGATGCGATGAACCGATAAGGCGGATTATATCCGTTGTTTCCAAACACGAGCACATAATATTATGATTGAGACAGGGCGGTACTCAAACTTCCAAAGGGCTATAACTTTGTTACTTTAATTTTACCAGAAAAATGGTAAAGGGAAAAAACATTTCTTTTGATCAGATCTACTCACTGTTAAAATAAATGACTCAACCCTGTATAATCAAAATATTCATTGTTAATATTTTAAATCTATAACACCCTGATACATTTTTATTATTTGTATTCGATAAGAAAAAAACTAAGATTTCAATAGTTGGGCCATCTGAAGTGGGAAGGGGCTCGTAGGTGATTGGCTTTGTACTTGTATAAATTGAAGCGCAATTGTATCAATGCGAACGAGTTCAAATTTCGTGTCCACGTTAAGTTAAAGTATCTTAACGTCATGAGCCCGTTGTCTCTACCAAAAATTATTTTTTTGTGGCAATATCAGCTGATGACTATTCTACCTAGCTTTTTTCTCACATCCTGGATGGTTCATGACATGTGGACAACGATATCATGTCGACATGAGAAAAAAAATTTCGAGATTGTTCAAAAAATGAACGATATAATATGTAAATACGATGAAAAGATGTGAAGCATCTCGCAGTAGCCAGCCTGGTTGTCAGACTGTTGAAAATAAGCAAATTTCAGAAACAAGCTCATTTTTCAGAATCTGTTATATGTTATAATAATGATAAACAGAAAAAACAATCGTATCAAATCTCAAGTTTCTAAGTGAAGCTCGCGCGAAAACCGAACACACGAGAAAATTTCTTCAGTTCAAGTCGATGACTGAAAATATGAAAAAAGAAATCGTCCTCCAAAGAGTTGAGAAAACACTGTCGAAGAATGAAATCTTGAAACTCAAGAAGCGCTTCTCGTCAGGGATAAACTATCCCTTGAGACACTTAAACGTGTGGATATACAAATAAAAAAAAATAAAATTTCTAGCTCGATAATGTAAACTAATTTAATCCAAATGTGGTTCACATTATCGAAATGTTTTCATTAGCGAACGTGATTTATTTAATATTTGATTTATTAAAAGGAACGTTTAATACATACTATTTATAACAAAATAAACAAATATTCTAACAGCCATAAGTATTTTTTTAATTAGAAGAAAAATTATTAACAATTCTTGTCTGCGTAAATTTGCGCTTAGCATTGTCATCCAATGCCTGTGCCCGTAATTTACGAAGAACGAAAATATCCGTGTATGAAACTTCTTTTCTTTCAGCCCAATCTAAAGCTTGGTTAAAAACTTGTATAGCTTACGCGTCAGTCACAACACTTCTGACTTCAATGGGATCGTTCTCATCATCCTCACTGTCCACATCCTCCTCCTTATGAGCATCATTCGCTTGCTTATCTTCGTTCCATAAATTAATTTCAGCAGGAGTACAAACAATGTTGGGATTCACTGTTTTCAATAAATCAACAACATCCAATGACACACTAATAACATTATCATTATTGGATCGCAAACGTTCTCTAATTACGCTTAAGGGGACATCGTCTTCTTCATCATCTTCATTATTGGTACAAAAGAGATTGTTCCAACATTTTTGAATAGTTTGCTGGCTAAGTTCATTCCAGGCCATATGTAAATCTAAAACAGCTTCTCGTAATGTTACTTTTTTTAAAGCCTCAGATAAGTTTTCAGGATTCTTTGATAAGACAGACGAAAGTAGAAACTTCCTATATATAGTTTGGTGAGTCTTGTTATATTCTGGTCCATCGGTTGAATGATAGATGACGAAAATTGACCCATTCCTGCTCCTCAGTTGTTGCTCGGGAGGATGACTTGGTGCATTATCCAATAGTAACAACGCTTTTATTGGAAGCTTCTGTTGTTTTAGGAAACCTTTTACCTACAAATTGAAAACACATCTTCAAATAATGAATAGAGCATTTGTGATAATTGATTGTCATACCTGAGGGACAAAGCACCTGTGGAACCATTTCAGGAATATACTGCTAGTCATCCAAGCGGTTTTTGAACATTCATAATCAACAGGGATATTAACATTTTTAAATGAGTGCGGATTTTTTGCTTTCCCAGTTACCAGTGTCTTTATTTTGTGTGAACCATTAGCATTGGTGCAGGCTAGAAACGTTATTCGTTGTTTCTCCGGCTTTCTTTCCCGGCAGATTTTTCAAATGATGCAGCATAGGTTTTCTCTGGTAACATTTTCCAATAAAGGCCACTTTCATCTGCGTTGTAAATTTCTTCCATTCTTAAATCTAGCTTGGTAATTGTTTTCATCAATTCTTCTTTGAGTGGTTGCACTAACTGTGGTTGTGCTGATAATTTTTCACCAGATATAGACAGCAGTCGAATTCCATATCTTGTCTTGAATCGTTGTAGCCAGCCATCACTAGCTACGAAACTTTCAATTTCTTTCAGTTTTTCATTTAACAGTCTCGCTCTCTGTTTAAGCACTTCGCCACTAACTGGGACATGATTTTCCCGTTGTTTTTCTCCCACTTATACAGGGAATTTTCCATTTTAGGTGCCTTCGCATTTTTTTAAGTCTTTATTTTTTCCGGACTTCCAAATGTATTGCACGTTCTTTGTAAAATTTGAGTTTTCATACGCTTAATGTTACAGATTGTTGCTTTCGATACTCCATATTTTTTTGCTAACTGTGTCACTTCCGCACCTAGTGCAACTTCGTCTATGATTTTCACTTTCTCACTCAACTTTAAACACATTCTTTTATAGGATGTGGATGCCATAGTGGTAAAATATATTAACGCGTGCAATGTATTCACTTAAGTTCAAAAATGAAATACATACGTACGTATAAACGTATCCTAAATAATCATACGACTGACCGAGTTTGTTGTATTTTATCGCAGAGGTGAATCCCCTTCACATCATAAATCGAGGACTCCCCGATGCCCGACATAAATCATCGAGGCTTCAGCATTTTACCGTTGCGCTGTTTCCGTGCGCCGAGAGTTGTTTACGTTGTCGAGTGTACACATTGTTTACGTTATCGCGCGTTCCGTTTGATCCTACAGAACGAAGTTTGTTTACATTAGCGCAAGTTTTCATTATCCCGTGTTTACGTTATCGAGCGTCTGCTGTATTTATTTACTCTAAAATACAGGGAACATGAAGCATGTAAATAAATATAATGTATCCATAGGAGGACAATGCCTGTGCATGTATCATATGCATGTTGAATTGCAAAGGATAAAAAAGAATAGAGAAAAAAATTATTGGTAACAACGATTGAGCATTTATTGTGTAATATTTGAGATTATTCTATTAATGTTATTTCTCCCAATCGTGTTGATATTTTTTTTTAATTTTTTTTAGACATAATGTATTGCGTAATTGTTTTAAATTATTTGGTAAATGTTCGTGCAATTTTGGAGCTAAATACAGGTGACATCGTTTCATTAAACATTTATTTGGTTTAGGAACATTTTTATAGTATACATAGTTACATTGACAGCTTGTGACACTTGAAATAGACGGATGAATGTGGAAATTTCGACTCTCTTATAACAAATATAAACATTTTTATTTAATTATTATGCGGCCATCGCTGATACCTGTGTTCTAGAGACCAGCATGCTGTATTTAGGAGGTGCTATAGCTTAATGCAGGGTTTACTGTCTGAGCTGCCATCTAGCGGATTACAAGTCTCGATTGCCTTGATTGGTTAGGTTTTTCATCTTTTACAACTTGAAAAATAAAATATACAGGGTGATTGGTGCATCGTTTGCCAAATTGAAATGGCAGACACAAGAGGTCTTTTTCTATCATTCCAGGTCCCTCAAACCGTTTTTAGTCCAACGGGATTAATAATGTAGATTTTACAATTTTTTTAGTAAAAACTCCAAAATGTAATACACAAAGTGAGATAAAAAAATAAAGTGTATGTCTACCTAATGATGCAAGCAGCATGTAGTTTTTTCTTATAAACTCACAAAGGGTTACAAAGAAGAACAAAGAAATGTAAGCATCAACTTTAAATTTTTGTAAAAAAAAATCTAAATACGTTCACGTTCTTAGAATTCTTTTAAAGACTACTCTAGTTTATCCCGATTCTAACGGTATACCACAAGCCACAAGAAAGTTTAACTAACTTATTGAATTTGCAAGGTTTGTGTACAGGGGAAGAGAAATAAAAAAAATGTGTAAAATCAAATTTCATTCATTTATTATTTTTTCTGTTTCACAAATCTTGTTCGAATTGTTGTCCTCGATTGCGTATGCACGCACCTTTCTCATTCACCAATTCGGGCAACTTATTTTGCAGAAAATGTAGATAATTATCTCCGTAAAGACGATCTGGCAAATAATGTGGCCCAATCACATCATTGTCAATTCTGTTGCAAATAGTTAAAAGGGCATAAGTCATTTTTTTCGACTTACGACATTTTAACGTATTCGTGGAGAGGACGGCTATAAGAACACTTCAGTAAAATTGTATAAGTAGATATATGAAAGAATCGCCATAGAAAAAGTCAAAAATAAAAATTGAACCTAGCACCAGATTCGTCTACTCTGGTTGGTAACAAGGGCTCAAGTTAATTTATGTATATATGCCGTTTTAACCATAACAAATTCAATTACCTTATTTGACAAAAAAGGCATATCTAATAATTTTATCATTCATCTTTCATATCTGGATATTTTCTTATACTATATGGTTCAGGGTTTAATGACAGAGTATTAATAAAACAGGTTTTGTACCATTTTCCCTAGCCACGCCAAAACTAAATCAATATAAAACCTGTCAAAACTTTGCCGCCATTTTACCGAAAACAACAAACATATACGTAAGCCCTTTCAACTATTTACCACAGAATTACTCCTGCCCAAACATTCACACTGAATATTCTCTGAAAAGAACTTAGCCTCTTCACTCTTGGGTTCTGATCTTCTGAAGCCCAATGGTGCAGATTGTGCAAATTTAGTATCCCGTCCTTGGTGAATTTGGACTCATCCGTCCACAGAATACTTGTCAAAAAGTCCGGATCGTCCACGTCTGTGTGCAGCAAGAAACGACAAAATCAGACCCGGATGTCGTAGTCATTGTTTTCCAGACCTGCAATCAAACCGATACGGGTAACATTACAGTATATTCAGATAAGAGATAAACCGGATGTAAACAAAAGGTTCGGGTGATTTTCACGCTAACGCCGCCGTCTCGACGTAAAACAGGAGCCCTCATTGGTCCATTCGCAATTAAATGCCTATGCCGAGCGGCAGAGCAGTCGTATCAAGGCAGAGTCACATTCAGGTTCAGACGTGTTACGTATGTCGTGTGCATCATTGCAATTTGATATTTCTTTGGACGTTTTCGTTTGTTATCTTATTAAGTTGTTGAGTTTGTCGTTGTTATTGTTATACCTTGTTATTGATTGTTATTGTTATCAACTGCTTGCGCAAAATGCCCAGTAGTACAGATACTGCCGATGAAGTTGTAAACTCCTGTAGTCCACCTAGGAAACGCTCTAAAAAAAGACACCTGAGTGCAGAAATGAAAGAGGTCATTTTGAATATATATAAGATCGAGCGCGAGGAGAACGAGGCATCAACCATCAAAGAAATTGTTGTGAAGGTTTCTCACAAACTTGGGGTGTGTCGCGCATCAGTGTTTAACGTGTTAAGACAATACAAAAAAAATCACACCTTTTCTGAGCCAATGACCAGTAAACATCGCAAAAGTATTGTTAAATCATTGGATGAAGCTGATAAGCATGCGATTAGGAGGAAAGTGCATGAATTCTTCTTTAGGAATGAAATACCTACTATAGATAAAGTACTGCAGGAGGTAAATGGAGATACAACGTTGCCAAATTTCAAACGATCAACTTTCCATGCGTTACTGAAGCATTTAAATTTCAAATGGAAAAAACGGGGTCGTAATGGTTTACTACTGGATAGAGAAGAAATTGTGCTATGGAGGAGGGATTATTTAACAAAAATTGGGAAATATAGAAATCAAAACAGGAAGATTTATTACCTTGATGAAACGTGGGTAAACGCAGGACACACTACAAGTAAAGTATGGGTTGATGATTCTGTAACTTCATCCAGGAGGGCCTTTCTATATGGACTGTCCACCGGATTAAAAAATCCAGCAGGTAAATACGAGTAATAGACAACAATCGGATGTTTTTCAAACCTTGTGAACAAGGTTCTAAACATTAATTCCAGGGGGCCGATAAAACATATTACAAGTAACAAAATTTTTATAACTTTCAATAAAATGCGTGGATGTTTTATTGTCATTTTCATTTGTTAGAACTTTTTTAAGCCATGTTTTTATGTGTTTTCGATATTTCAATAATTTTTTAATATAATCTTAAAATATGTCGAATATTATAAACTTAAAAAAAGTTACTAAGTTTTATATTGTGTATCGTTCCTAATATTTCTAATCATTTTAATTCATACTTTAAGCTTTATAAAGTTATAATTTGTTAATATTAATATTTGCGCGTATTTCAGGTTCCTGATCATTCATTTTTTAAAGGGTTATAACTTTAAATTAAATTGTGAAGCGCTGAGTAATCATACGACGTCCAATATTCTTTCTTTCAATATGACTAAATAATCCCAATTATAGCAATCTGATACTCATGTCTCAATGTTTTTTCGCTGAATGTGATGAAAACATTTGAAAAAGGTTCGCTTATTGAAATAAATCTACACCAGTTAGTACTTCGATTTCCAGGTAAAGGGAAAAGGCTCATTATCTGCCATATTGGCAGTGAGGATGGATTTGTTGTTGATGGTCTGTGGTGCTTTGAGGCTAAGAAAACTTGACATTACCACGAGGAAATGAATAGCGAATCGTTTGAACAGTGGTTTTCAAAAATTTTACCGAACTTAGAGGAAAACGCCGTAATTGTGTTGGATAATGCGCCTTATCATTCTCGAAGAATGGAGAAGGTCCCAACAACGGCTTCAAGGAAAGTTGATGCTCAAAATTGGCTCCGCTCGAAAAATATCAACTTTGAAGGAGCAATGCTGAAAGTACAATTATTAAGAATTGTCAAGGATCACAAGGCGGAATATCAAAAATACGCCATTGACGAAATGGCAGCAAGTCAAAATAAAACTGTGCTCCGTTTACCTCCATACCATTGCGAGCTCAATCCCATTGAGCTCATATGGGCAGAGGTTAAAAATTATATAGCTTAGCACAATACAACTTTTAAATTTTGTGACCTCAAAGGACTTTTCAAAGAAGCACTAGAATTAATAACAGCGCAAAAATGGGAAAACTGTATTAAGCACGTGAAAGACAAAGTTGAAAAGAGAATGTGGGAACTGGACAATATTTTAGAGGAACAAGTCGAGCCATTCATTATTGACGTTGGTGCTTCAGGCAGTAGCGATGATGAAAGCTC